GTGCCCCAGTCCTCCGGGCATTTGGGTTCGGGAGTTGTGGTGGGCTCTGGTGGGCGAGTCACTCCTTCTGCCCAGTGCTTGCACACAAACTTTGCCTTTTCGTCACATTTCAAAACATCCCATAAGCCCCCTGCAATCCCGGTTTTCATGGCAACGCACCCTGCCTTTCGCCCTGTATTAAATACATAAAAGAGAATTCACTCGACTGGTGTTTGCTGAAGGTCTCCCACGCTCACGGAAGACAGTTCCAAACTGAGCCTGTGGTCAAGTCTGCACGTGGCGGAGAAAGGCAGAGGATTGCACCTTGCAGCATTTGTCAATTGGTTTGTGCTGTTTTGAACCATTGTTTGCCTTTTGTTTGTGTGGTCTGTATCTCCAACTGAATTGCGATCTCAAATCTAGGGGGCTTGATAACCTTTCGTATTTGTAACATCTGGCAGAGTGCCCCACACTTAGTCATATAGTGATGTCATACTTTTGTATGATCAAATTTATTGTATGGTAAAAACACTGGTTTAATATTTCTCTCCCTTCCTTCCTTCCTTTCTTCCTTTTTTAATTCTTTTTCTTTCAGTTAATAAATTTTCTTTACTTGTTTTTGTATCCATATGATTGTAAAAAAGCAAACAGTGCTAATGGCCCCTTTTTTAATTCTTTAAGATCCTTTTCTTCCCCTTCCATGTAGACCTCCCAGGACCAAAGTTCTTTCCAGACTTCAAAATGAGACGCCCCTGAGCTAGAGATGTTAGGTACGTCACTCGACCACGCTGAACTTGCCTCCTCATCTTAAAAGGCAAACGTAAGACCTACCTTACACAGTTGTGAGGAATGCCGGCTTTAATGAACAAAGAAGTAAATAAAATGAGGAATGTATTAAGCTTAATAATTTACAATTCTGTTTCACAGTTGGAGTTATTTCCAAATATTAATTAACTAGGAGCTTTGAAAACATCAGGATTCCTTGCTGCTAAGATGAGTTCATTTTTTTTATTATTAGTCTTTTAAAGGACCGTAAGTGCTTAGAAGTCCTTCTCAAAGCTCTGAAAAGGGACACCTGTTTCGGAACGTTTTCTCTGAAATCTCTGATTTCCTGACACCCCAAGAGTTTGCTCTGACTCCTATGATGGCCGCCACCTTGCCAGGTTGCCGCATCCCAGAGGTCCACTTTCAGCTCAGCTGACCTGATGCTCAGGCCAGGGCTCCTTACCCGCTCCTCCCGAACCTGGACACTCGTTCAGAGAGGTCAGCCTTCCTCAAGAGGGAACCACCATCCTTCCATCAAGGATATACCGTAACAATGGTGGCAACTGAGTTGTGGCTCCAATTTGATTCATTTTTATACCCCAGGGACATTCCAAGGTTAACCTCTCAGAACCTGCTACTGAACGAGCAACGAGGACAAAATTAAGCAGTTTCGTCTAGAGAGTAAGACTGACCACTCCTACCAATATTAAAAAAAAACAGTATGCACTCAGCTCTTAATATACTATCCAGTTATTTTAAAAAATGAACCGAAATCTTACCATTTTTCAGAATGTTCAATAATTTAATAAACTATAATCACACACGATCCACATTATTGATCTGTTTTCCTTACTGAAAGCTAAGAATGCAAATTAAAATAACACCTGAAGCTTAGGCTGTATTAGGCCAAGTAGTAAGTTCATATACTTGAGCTATTATTCCTTGTTGAGTTTTTTACCCAGGTACAATGTGATATTTGCTATAAAGGATGTTGACTTTTCTGTATGTTGTCATACAGAATAATGTCATATGCTAGTGATAACAGTGCATAAAGGAGGCAAAGAATCTTTCAAAGTCTGTTTCAGAAACAACTTGCAACATGGTATTAGAAAAGTCAAGTCAAAATTTACCAGGAGGCAGGCTGCTGCCAGTGCAAACAACACAGATTTGGGAATTACACAGATTAGTCTAAATCCATGCTTGGAAGCTTTCTCATCACATAAATTTTCTGAATCCCACTTTCCACTTCTTTTAAATGAAGATACTCAAACTTACCTTGCAGGGTTTTTAGAAGAATAAAATAAACCCAAGGCAAATAAAGAACTCAACCCAGTGGCACATGCAAGATATTGAAATAATGAGTTCCACAAGAGCACAATCTTTTGTTCCACTGCCCAAGCACACTAATATTTCAGTTCAGAGTTGCACTGAAAGGTTTTATATCCATTTAATATAGGTTTAAATTTTCAGAAACGAGTTAACCATTTGGAAATTTGTGACCATTTAGAATTTCATTAATAGTTTTCAAGTAGACCAGTACCAGATAACCTAGCAATATTTTCTTTTTTTTTTTTTTTTTCTTAGAACACTGCAAACTCAT